GTAATAATACACACTAATATACATATAATACACAGTAATATACACATTAATACACACTGTGGAGGTTGACTTGTGAGGTCGTTTGAACCCTAAACTCAGGTGTTTAAAGTCGGATGCTGAAGGAAGGAAGGAAAGGATAAGAGCAATGTTAGGAAGGAATCAGAGGAAGTGAGTAAGGATGAACAGAGGACAGTGTAGGAGGAGAGATGACACATATTCATGTTCTCTAATTCATCGTGTGTGTGTGTGTGACAGTGTGTGTGTCTCGTCACCATGACAGCGGGGTGTCTCTCGACCAATCAGGAGCAGAGAAACTGTCTCAAACATTCAGACAAAAAGAATTTCAAATATTTACTGAACCTCCTCCTCATCATCATCATCACCCTCTTCTTCATCACCCTCTTCTTCATCTCCTCCTTTTTCTTCATCTTATTCTCCTTCTGTTCTCTTTCAACACTCCTCTGCAGCTGTTTTCTGTTGTTTCCTCCTCGACTCATTACACACACACTGTCACACAAACACACACACACTGTCTCACACACACACACACACACTGTCACACTCACTGTCTCACACACACACACACTGTCTCACACACACACACACACACTGTCACACCCACTGTCTCACACACACACACACTGTCACACACACTCACTGTCTCACACACACACACAGTCTCACACACACACTGTCACACACACCATTAAACATCTAATGTTGTGTAACGTCTTTGTTTTCTCTCGTCCATCTGTTATCATTTGATATTTTAAAGGTTCAGTATTCATAGTGAACAATATACGTGTATATATTCTGTATATATATATACAGAATATATGTATATATATATATTCCTTGACATCTTGAGTAAATATTTGTTGATATATTCTGTCTAATATTAAGAATACATGAAGTGATATATTAATATTCATCATATCAGTTGTCTGTGTTTAATTATTGGTATAACTCTTATATATAAATACTTTCTGTACATTCAGTTCACATCTTCTCATATATTGATGAAGTATGTTTGTATATTTTCATTGATATATTCAGTGATACACTGAGTGTATAAAGTATTGATTATATATATATTTTCTTCTTCTTCAGGTATTTTTGGCAGCAGCCTCCTGAACTCCGCCCCCCCCCTCCCCTCCCCCGAGCCCATCGCCGACAGCGACCCTGGCTACCGTGGCAACAGCACAAACCCCTCCCCCTTCTCTGAGACAGGAAACGCCACCGATTCGCTGCCACGAAACCACGACGACGACATCATCGCAACCACAGCTATCAACAGCCTTCCTCCAGGCTCCTCCTCCTCATCACAGGCCACGCCCACACAGCCCTTCACCAAGCCCCCTGATTGGCTGACCTCGGTGACCTCGCTGAGCAGCGCCTGGCCGATCGTCAGCACCTCAGCACCGGAATCAGGTATCCACTACTGTCTGTCTGTCTGTCTGCCTGCCTGTCTGTCTATCTCTCTGTCTGTCTGTCTGTCTGTCTGCCTGCCTGTCTGTCTCTTTGTCT